AATTAAGTAAATGCCAATGATCCATTTGTAACTAGTAGTAGAGTATACTAAATGGATTGATCTTGATCTTAAGCCCGGAAGCTCAATAATAAAAGGAAATCCATCTTGATTACATAGTCCTTTCGAACTAGGCATCCCCACTGCCCTCTATCGTCCACATCAAAGGTGGGGAATATTTTCCCACCATAGTGGGATTCCTCAGGTTCGGTGGGAATCCTTGATCACGTGTTTTCGATCAGATTCGATGTCTGTCCTTGCTTAAGGTGGGGAGACCACATGAGTCAATTGCCATACAGTTTTGTATGTGAATCTACTTGCTTTTCCAAATGGTCCGAGCTCGTATGGACAGATCAGCTGTTACTTCGTAACATCAGATCATTTAAATTGATAAATTAATATTCTTTTAAAATATATTCTTTTATATTCATATAAAGTGAGGAGATAAATAAATAAATAATCTTTTTCTCATTATTATCTTTTCATCATTATACACCTTGAGATTAAAGTTAAAAAAGAAAATCAAGAAAATAAACAAGTAAGAAAAAGAGAAATCAAATAACACCACAATCTCAGAATCAAGAATGTATATATCAAGTGGTTCAAATAGCTGCAAAAAAAAAAACACACACATACAAGTACTCATTCCCTCCCTCCCTACCATCTACCATAGCAAAGCAAAGCACCAACTTCACCACAACCTTCATTGAAAAATCAGGATGAAAAGATTCAAATACATATGAAATATATATACATATAATCCCAAACCCTATATAAATCATCTTAGCAGAACAAGTTCAAGCTCGACATCATATTCAAGCTACGAGTCTACCACATCTACCGCACAAAGGCTTCATTACCCTTACCTCAGGCTTTAGCTCCTGAAAGTTAAGATAGGAATCATCATCGATGATCTCAAGACTCAATAAAACACTTCTAAGAAAATCTCAAGATGAATTATAAGGAAAGGAAAGGAAATACAAGAAAAGGCAAGGTAAGGCACGTAGGTAGTATTAATCCCCAGATATCCAGCGCATACCCATACCCAATAGAAAATAATCGACTTCCTTCTAGCTTTTAGCTTCTAGCATCTCTCCCATTCAGCGCAGTCAGCGCAATCAGTAAACAAGGATGCCAATATCAGAAAATCATCCCCATCACCATCAACATACCATCAATAAAACCCATCACCCTACATTCCCTAGATACCTACACAACTTCCTTCCTTCCTTCCTTCTCCCTCCTCACCCATTACTTATATTTGCATAAGATTAACCTAACCTAACTTTCCTTTACTTCCCTTTACTCAAGCTTTAAAACTTTAAAGCTTTAAACTTTATACCACAATACAATATCAATTCTTTATTGAACGATATTTACATTATATTATATACATATATACATACATACTTACGAGCGGGCGGGCGAATATCTTTTCTTTCTTTTTATATTTACATATCAATATATATAAATATAAATACCAAAAAAAGAAACAACACTCAACAAATACCAAAAAAAAAAACCAAAAAAAAAACCAACCAAAAAAAACCAACCAAAAAAAAACAAACCAAAAAAAAAACAAACCAAAAAAAAACACTCAATAAATAAAAAAAACATATTTAATCATCTCAGAAAAATATATCACATAATCAATAACTAGATAATTGTCGTAAAAAAAAAAAGAGGGGGAAATCCTCAAAAAAAAAAAAAAAAGAGTTCCGAAAAAATGAAACAAATTTCCATTTCCAAGATTTTCAATCTCTTCTCAATTAAATTACGTCACAGGGGTAATTTTATTTTGTCTACTGGAGGCGATAATGTCAATATGCTAAACATAGATAGATACTAGTAATTAAATCAATTAATTGAGATTGCTGATCTGTGAAATTTGAATGAATATCTAGG